CCTAGAGGGCCTGAGTGAACTCCTACTGGGCTCCTGGCCGGTTCCTGCATTCACTGGCTCCAGTTCCCACACTCGTTCACTTGCACACTCCCTACCACAAGGTGTTAAGTAGAATGCACTAAGTAAATGGGGCACCCCTGTCACAAATCCTATGAAGGGGTCAAGAAAATATCCTGCATCAGTAGGCCTAAAACCAATCTTTTTGAAGGATAGTGTCAAGGAATAGATGCCTTATTATAAAAGAGTATGTTTTTCTATTGCTGAGAAAGAATCTTCTTCAAAACCTCTCTCATGCAGTTGTAGACAGGATTCAGTTTCTCATAGGATGTTGGACTAGAAGGTTTTACTTCCTCACTGCCTGTTTGCCAGGGGCCTCGCTCAGTTCCTTGCAACATGGACCTCTTCATAGGGTGACTCACAACATGGCAGCTATCTTCCTTCAAAGCAGGTGAGAGAGGAAAAGAGGCTGAGTACCCAATACAAAAGCCAAAGTCTTCTTTTATAACCAAACCTTGTAAGTGGTAGCCCATTATTTCTGTTGTATTCTATTCACTGGAGTTTCTCATCTGTTATGCTGGGGAGTTTAAATTCCATCTTATGCTTGGAGAGAAGTTAATGAAAGGATGAAACTCATATCTCAGTAAAATAATCCTGATAACAGAGTGCAGAATAACTGAAAACAAAACAAAAGAAGTAGGCCACTCAGGGGCATGCTGTGACAGCATAGAGAAAGATATACTACACTAAACTGGTAGTCATGGGTATGGAGAAGTGGAGATACACAGGACAGATATGGTCAGGGGTTGAAAGAGAGGAAGACATAACAAATGAGTTCAAGGCTCCTGGCTTGCATGACTAAGCAGATGTTAATGACATGAATCATAGATGGATGAATGAAAGAGAATGAATTTCTTTCTGGATATGTTGAGTTTTGAGAACCCTACAAGACATCATACATACAGTATGGATAGGCTTTACTTCATAGACAGGAAGAGGGGGAGGAAATATAGAACAACCTTCACTTGGATGGAGACAAGCAGGAATGAATTTAGTTTTACAAATATTTGTTGAATGTTTGCTACATTCTTAGCACTTTCTTAAATATGCTATCATAATTCATTTTACCAAAGTACTAACATATAGATTACATTTCAAAGAAAACAGAGAACTTTTAAATTGTCATTAAATTCAGATGTACTCTTTTAAACAAACTATTATAAGAATAAATTCTAGACTTACAAAATAAACACAAAAATCAAAATGAATATGAAGAAGAAAGGATATGACTAAAACACACACCAAGCAACTATATTCAACCATATTTGAATCATGTATACTGTTTCATTTCCCAGAGTTTGCCTTTTATTGCTATTTATTTTCTCTTGATTCAATTAGAAATGTAGCCTGGAATTTGGAAGCAATTCTACATGTTATGTAACTGAGTTTCATACAAACCATTAATAAAATGTAGGAAAGGACAATACTCAATGAATCCCTTAGGTATTAACTTGATTACTAGAATTAAGTCAGCTAGTGCCATTCCGTACTGTTTAGCACATAATGCTCATGTAGCTTAGGACAGTTTGCAATTCAGAGCTTAATTAAAGTTTGTAGTTACTTGTTAAAATTGTAACTGCACCGTGCCCTGACTGGGGGTCTTTTAAAAATTAAATTGTTATTTACCCAAGTGGTGCTGAGTTTTTAGTGGGTATTTGTCTGTGCATGCACACAATTACACACATTTTAACCACACAATATTTAAGACATTTTTCCTCATTAATGTGTTCACGAAAGAAAAGATATGTGCTGCAGCTGCTTAGTTTTGCTGGCAGGTCTGTGTGTTCTGGCCCCAGATGCTCTCCTGTTTGCCTTCTTGCACACTCTTTAAAAGCAGGACCACAAGGCCTTTCCTTCTCTTCTCGAGGTCCAAAGCATTACACATTTTACAGAAAATGATGCATACGCCATTGATTTCAATGCTATCTGTCCACGTTAACCTCACAGCTTGAACCAAAGATGTGGAATTCCTAAAAAACTCCTTCTTGATACATTAATACTCTCGCCTGATTTCTGTGTCCAAGCAGTCATCAACACAAACCTATGACAGTTCTAATGATGACAGTAACTGGGGAAATGGGCAAGTGAAAAGTCTTTTTTTAATTGTCCTCAACATGTACAGAACTCCTCTTTCTAGAGAATGAAAGAAAGGGTTATGTTTTCAACAATATGGAAATTAATACCTCCAAAACCAAAAAACTTCTTCAATTTTGTGGAGTAGGATAAACATTGGATGTGGTAGAAGTGGAATTAAAGCAGTTCCCTCAGTTTTACATTCTGTCCAAAATAGATATAAAAAAAGTATACCTTTCCTTATACTCAGACCTGAAAAAATTACTATAATTGACTTAAAATACATTTATTCAACTTGCTTTGCCTTTAATTCCAATTTAGTTGGCTTTTTATAGAAATGTGCTTGCAAGTGAATTTTGATTTCTTAAGCTTTTCTGTTAATTCTTGAAATGCCCCAGTGTATATTTTTATTTTTTACGTGCAACCTGATAGAAACTGTATAGAACTCAGAGACTTAGGAAAAATTGTAAGAACATTAATGAACAAATTTCTCAACATTGGAAAGAATTGTGTCTAATATGCTGTTGATTTAAATAAATGGTGACTGAATAAATAAATGAATGACTGGGCTACATAAATGAAACATGGCCCTGTATTCAAAACAAGAGAATCAGGTAAGGGAGAAAAGGTAGGCACTGGAATTACACTGGTCTACTCACTCTGGCATGGCCCTGGGCAGATGGGAGGGCAAGCTGAAATTAAGTGATTTCAGTGTTGAGATATGCCAGTGTAGAGAATCCAACCTGACACTCCAAGTAAGATCAAGGCCCCTTGGAATAAACTCCAAGATATGATAAGCAAAAGTAAGACAAGACTACAGTGTCAAAGGACAAGAAGGAAAGATTCAGAATCTCACAAGCAGTACGTGTGAATGGGAAGCAAACACAAGGTTCGTAGGTTTCACTTTGAGTGAGCTGGAGCATGCAAACTCAGAAAAACCAACACAATAAATGTTTTGTTGTTGTTGTTTTGAGACAGCATCTCACACTGTTGCTCAGGCTGGAGTCTAATAGCTGATATCAACTCACTGCAACCTGCACCTCCCAAGTTCAAGCAATTCTGGTACCTCAGCCTTCCAAGTAGCTGGGATGACTTGTAGTCGGGACTACAAGTCGTGTGTCACCATACCTAATTTTTGTTGTAGTAGACAGGTTTTCACCATGTTGCCTAGGCTGGTCTTGAACTCCTGGCCTCAAGAGATCCATCTGCCTCAGCCTCCCAAAGTGCTGGGATTACAGGCCACAATCAATGTTTCCAATGTGAGACCAAAAAAAGGGACAAGAACAGTATGTTGCTATTCATGTCATCATGAATACCTTCAAGAGATATGAAAGGAAACTATATACAATGTTAATTCCCCAATCATGTTGCTTTTGACTTCTGTCAGGTTCTCATTTTTACTATAGCATTAACTTCAATACCAGGATGAATTTGAAGAATTCACTCAATTAGAACAGTGATTCTCAACTTGTAGAGGATCACACAAGAAAATCCAAAACTTACTTGGTGTACCTCCAAGCTGGTGGCCCCCAAAACAATTCCCTTTCTGAGGACTATAGAACTTTTTAGCTAGAAGCAGATCCCCAACTGCCAGAAAGTCCTTATTGTCGACTTGTTCCTTCTTACCTTTCCAGCTTTCTCCCTAAGGGGTCTCATAAGAGCAAGACAGTTTCTAGTCTTTCCCTAAGTCCCTGAGCCATGAAAGAATCCCAGAGTCAGATGAGAAATGTTTACTATCTGTAGGTTCCTGAAAAAAGTTACCAAATTTCTCTAAACCTCAGCTTACTCGTCTGTATGGAAGAAGAATAAAGCTGGGGATGGTGACTCACACCTGTAATCCCTGCACTTTGGGACACTGAGGTGCCAGAGTCCCTTCAGCCCAGGAGTTTGAGACCCGCCTGGGCAATATCTGGGCAACATAGAGAGATCTCATCTCTACCAAAAATAAAAAAAAAAAAATTAGCCTGTGATCCTAGACACTCTGGAGGCTGAGGCAGGAGGATTACTTAACCTCAGAAGGTCAAGGTGCAGCAAGCCCTTATCGCACCACTGCACTCTGCCAAAGTGAGACCTTAGGAGGAGGGGGAGGAGAAGGAGGAGGAGAAAGAGGAGGGGAAGGGGAAGGGGAAGAAGAAGGGGAAGGGAAGGAGAAGGAAAAGGAGAAGGAGAAGGAAAAGAAGGAGAAGGAAAGGAGGAGGAAGAGGACTACCTAAATAAGGTTATTGATAGAATAAAAATGAGTGCAAACAGTTTTGAAGTGTTTTTGCACAATGACTGCCATCTGGTAAATACTTCATAAATTGTCATTACTGTTATTACCTTTTAAAAAATCATTTCACTATAGTAAACAGCTGCTAAAAACTCAAGACAAGAGAGTAGATAAGAGATGCATTCCTACCAGTGAGATGGTAAAACTTAAATCTCAGTCAGAAAACAGATTGACTCAAAAGACAACAAAGATTCTATGTAGAAACTTAAGGAAGCAGCAGAGCATCCAAACTGAGAAAAGTTGGTCCAGGAATAATATTAATAGTATGTGTTTCAAGGATAAACTAGAGAAAGTGAGGCAATGTTAGCCAGTGAATTTTTTACTTATAGAATTCTCAGTCAACTAGCCTCATCTCTCATTTAGTTGGTTCATGTGTGTCAGGCACAAAAAAAAAAACTATAAAATTTTTGATTCTAAAATATTTGAACTTTTGGCTCATTGGGTTGGAAGAGATCTTCTCTTAAAGCATGACTCTCAAATATCAGCTTTTTTCCCACCAATGATCTCAAGGTTTAAGAAAAATGGAAAAAACATTTTCACCTCAAAGGATCAGTGACTCTTAAATTAGCTTACTGGAGTTTTATTACTTAAATTAGCTTACCTCAGTTGTTGAGTTTTAACTTTTGGAATGGGTTCCATGCAGTTTATTCCATGCAATTCCAATTTATTTTCATGAACTGCTTTCTAACATCAGTATCTTTGGTGTTTGGGTATCTCATTTATCATTGAAGAAGTTCTGTATGAGTGTTATAGTTTTCAGAAAACTGACTTATCCCTAAAAATGTGAAAAAGTTCATTTTAATTACATTTGATTTACATATTTTTCTACCATAATAGAAGACATTAAAAATAATTTAACCTTTTGGATAATCCAAGCAAGATTTGAGATTTCATTACTAGAAGTAATAAGATATATAGCTCTGACTCAGAAAACCTGGAATTAAGATCTGGTTCTGCCATCTATGTCCATGTAACTTTGGACAAGTAACTTAACTACTTTGCCATACCAATGCTTTCATCTGCAAAAATGGCAGTAACAATACATAACTCATGTTGTCATGGTTGGGTGAAATAGTATGAAAGATATAAAAGACTACCATTATGATTTCCTATTACTATAGGCTTACTGAGTAATATGCTTTCTGTTGATTTTTTTTTCTCAGAAAGATATTCCATTTAAAATATTATATTTACCAATTGAGATGTGATATGGTTTGACTGTGTCCCCACCCAAATCTCATCTTGAATTGTAGATCCCAAAGTTCTCACATGTTGTAGGTGGGACCCAGTGGGAGATAACTGAACCATGGGGGTGGGTCTTTCCCCTGCTGTTCTCATGGTAGTGAATAAATTTCATGAGATCTGATGGTTTTATAAAGGGGAGTTCCCCTACACAAGCTCTCTTGCCTGCCACCACATAGATGTGACTTTGCTTCTCATTCACTTTCCACCATGATTGTGAGGCCTCCCCAGCCAGGTGGACCTGTGAATCCATTAAACCTTCTCCTTTATAAATTATCCAGTCTTGGGGATGTCTTTATTAGCAATATGAGAACAGACTAATACAAGATGGTAACTTCTTTAATTACCATGCAATACAATGCGGTGCGTTAAGAACAGAATTAGGAAATGGAAGAACATGTTGTGGTATCAGTTCTCTGAACAACTAGTTGTTAAGTTGGACTAGGTTTTCTCAACCTGGAAAAAGAAAGAGCTGAGCAAGCTAATCACTCCCAGGTTTGAATTTTCCCAGTAAAATCAACAATATTTATTATGCCTTTATGTTCTATGTCAAAATGTCAAAAGCAGTTTTACTTTTTTTAGACATGGTCTCACTTTCTCACCCAGGCTGGGGCAGAGTGGTATGAACCCTCAAACTCCCAGGCTCAAGCAACCCTGCTGTCCCAGCCTCCCAGGTAGCTGGGACTACAGGTACAAGCCACCATACCCAGATAATTTTTCTATTTTTTTGTAGGCATGGAGTTTTGCCATGTTGCCCAGGCTGGTCTTAAACACCTGAGCTTAGAGTTCAAGTGATTCATCCACCCTGGCTTCCCAAAGTGCTGGGATTACAGCATGAGCCACCGCACCTGGCCTCAGTCTTACAATTTTTAATCTTCCTTTTGCCAACTAAAAGTTTTGGCAAGCGGCAGGAAAATTCCACAAGCACCTCTCTCTCTGCCAGTGTATTCAGTTGTCCCTCCTAGTACTCTGAATTGCTGTCGGTCCCCTTACCTCCTGTCCCTGCTCACTGTTTTTATCTAATAATTCTCTACCCTCTCTTCCGCATCATTTCCACATTTCCACTGGATAAATCTTCAGAGCATACAAACACGTTGTAATTTCTTCCATCTTATTAAAATAAAAAACTCTCTTGACCCTCCATCGCCTCCAGCTACTCCCTATTTCTCTCTCTTTTAGACAAAAAAAAAATTTTAAGTTTTTAATATAGAGAGAATATAGAGCATTCTCTATATTCATTCTCTGCAGTTCCTCTTTTCCAATTTTCTCCAAAATTTCTTTCAGCTAGTGTTTTGGCCACTCCATCCTCATAAAAGTTCTTAATCATGACCATAACCTTCAATGACTTCCACCTTATTGTTCTTCACCTTATTTGACCTTGTTAGCAGCATTTAACACATTCATTGCTGGCTTCTTTGAAATATTTCTTTAATTTGGGTTCTAGGACACTGTGCTCTTCCCCTTCACCTCTTGGACCTCACTGACCATACCTTCTCAGTCTGTTGTTCTTGTTATTCCTCAGCTCATAAATCTCATGATTTTACAGCACTCTGGGGATTCATGGTAATCTTAACCATACACACAGTATTAAATATCATCCCTTCTTTTTTTTTTTGTGAGATGCAGTCTTACTCTTGTTGCCCAGACTGGAGTGCAATGGTGTGATCTTGGCCCACCACAACCTCCACCTCCTGGGTTCAAGCGATTCTCCTGCCTCAGCCTCCTGAGTAGTTAGGATTACAGGCATGCACCTCCATGCCCCACCAATTTTTGTATTTTTAGTAGAGACAGGATTTCTCCATGTTGGTCAGGTTGTTCTCGAACTCCTGACCTCAGGTCATCTGCCTGCCTCAGTCTCCCAAAATGCTGGGACTACAGGTGTGAGCCACTGCACCCAGCCATATCATCTATATTCTGAAAACTCCCACAGTTACATCTCTAGCCTGGACCTCACACCATAAACTCTGGATTCTTGTATCCAGTTGCCAACTTGAGCCCTTTCTTGGGTGACTGATGGATGTGTCACACCTCACATGTAAAAACTATGTTCTTATTCTTTTATCCCTGGCATATTTCTTCCACAGCCTTCCCTCTCAGTCAATGACAACTACATTTTTCCTGTTGCTCAGACCACAACTTTGGGTTCATTCCTGACTTCTCTTTTTCTCTTATATTCCACTCAGCAAATCCTTTTTGGCTCTCCCTTCAAAATATATCCAGGGTGTTACCACTTCTCACCTCTTCCTTTGTCACTCCCGTGGTCCAACCGTTCAAGATCTCTCCTTTGAAGGACATCCATAGCCTCAACTGCCTTTTCCCTCTGATCTTAGTCTCGTAGAGTCTATTCTATTCAGAGCAATCCTGCTGAAATAGATCATTTATCTTTTCTGTGAAAACCAACTCTCCACCCTGATGTCTTACTCAAAATACACTCTCTCCCTGATGTAGTAACCTCACACTGCCTGCCCCTCCCACCCCCTTCCTTGTGGTGTGCTAGCCCTACCGGCCTGTTTGCTGAGTCTTGAACATGGCAGGCTCAAGCCTCCCTATTCAGATTCTCTATACTTGCTGTTCCTTCAAGAAATTGATCACATAAGACAGATAATAAGCTGCTAATGACTTTCAAGTTGTCTGAAATGTTTTTCACTCAAATACTCCAGGGCATAATATCTCATCTTTTTTTAAGTCTTTGCTTAAAGATTGTGTACCATGTGAGGTCTTCTCTGATACCTTATTTAAAACAGCTTTCTCTGATTTATTTTTCTCCATTGTCCTTCTCACCACTGACATAGGATATATTTTGCTTTCTTGTTAAATTATTGTATTTATTTAATGTTTATTGTCTTTCTCTCCCACCATATGGGGGGCAATTTTTCTTTATTTTCTTCACTTATTTAGCTCCTAGGCCTGGAACAGTGCCTGGCACATATTAGGTGTTAAATAAATGTTTGCTAAAAGAACACTGAGTGAGAAAGAAAAATAAAAGAAGGAAAAACAAACTAGCTATTTCAGGAATAATTGAGTTCACAGACACAAACAACTCATATTCTGTTCAAAACAATATTAATAATATTCTTAATATTTTCTATGCCAGATAAAGAATTCATGGACCAAAAAATCCATATTTTTAACTCTGAAAATATAGTTTTCTTAAGATGTATAAAATGTCTCTGAATTTAGTATATTTGTTCATTAGTCTTCATCTCTTTTGTGAAACAGCAAGAAAAAAAATCTAAGTGAAAGCAAACCATTGATCATAGGAGACAGAGAACAAGCTGTTAATGAGTTTCAAGTTGTTACAATGTATGTGTTAAGGCACAATTGAAGGTGCTAATAGATCTCTTAAGTTCTATGTGATTTTTGAAGAGGCACAGCTATTTCAATGATTCACTTGCTCTCACTAAACACTTTCCCAAGGACTCAATTCATTTCAAAGAGCTTTTATTGAAGGCTTATGTAGCCAGTACCTGGAGTGTACTTTTAGATGAAAGAGGAGAACTACCTAGGGAAACCAGACTGGGCTTCTTTTTGTAATGCAAATAAAATTCTTCAGTCCCCAGTTTTTGTGCATTGTAGAAATACATTACATAGATAGTCACCCCTTACGGAGGGATCAACAGCCCCTTATGTTAACAAAAGTAAATGATTTTACTCAGAATAATATGGAGAGACACCAGGGTAGAACTGGAGCCTGAGAGGTCGAGTAATCAAGGGAAAAGGAATAGGGCTCTGGTCACACACACACACACACACACACACACAGAATTTGTGTCCCAAACTTCACTACTTTTAAACTATGTGACATTGAACAATGTGTTTAACCTTTCCAAGCCCCATTCCCTAACATAAGAAAAGAGTTGAGAAAAATCTTTAGTCCTTGTAGAAATATAATGTATGAAAAGCACCAACTACAATGCCTGCACAGAGGAGATGTTCAATAATGATAGATATCATAAACAAGCAGGAAAAACAAGCAGGAAGATTAACCTTTATTGGCAACTCACCTAAGATACTTAGGAAAAGTCTGACACTTTCTTCTCCAATCACATTCCCAAATTCCTCACTTTTGTTTGCTTCCTCTATGTCCTTGCATTTGTCTTGGCACCATATATTCATAGAGAAGCAGAAAGAAAAATGATGACCTGCTCTCTCAACCCTGGCTCTGGCCCTAAGAGACTACAGGGAAGGATAAAACAGAAAACAGCGTGAAATTTTAGTCCATGTATGACGGTGTAACTCACAGAACCATCTTTCCATCCATACAACTACAGATCCTGGGGGGAAAAAAATCAAACCTAAAATTTTTGACAAGTAAACAAAAGCAGGCAGATTACGGGGGTAATTGGAACCTTGGAGCAGCAACAATAAAGGCGGGGGGTGAATTTTGTGTTTCTCTATGGTTTTGACTCAAAGTTGGGCTACGGTTGCAGAATCTCACTGCAGTACAGGTAGCTAAAACTATGTGGGAAGCCCCTCTGTCTTCCTGGCTGCAGGAACCAAGGAAAGAGGCTAGGACAATAGCTACCATGGGAA